CACTCTTCTCTTCTGCAGACTAAATAAGCCCAAATCCCTCAGCCTCTCCTCGTAGGTCATGTGCTCCAGCCCCCTAATCATTTTGGTCGCCTTCTGCTGGACCCTCTCCAATGTGTCCACATCCTTTCTGTAGTAGGGGGCCCAGAACTGGATGCAATACCCCAGATGTCTCACCAGTGCCGAATAACGGGGAATAATCATTTCTCTAGACCTGCTGGCAATGCTCCTCCTAATGCACCCTAATATTCCATTCACCTTCTTGGCTACAAGGGCACTCCATTGACTCGTATCCAGCTTCTCATCCACTGTAATCCCCAAGTCCTTTCCTGCCAAACTGCTGCTTAGCCAGTCGTCCCAACCTGTAACAACGCTTGGGATTCTTCCATCCCAAGTGCAGGACTTTTCACTTCTCTTTGTTGAACCTCATCAGATTTCTTTTGGCCCAATCCTCTAATCTGTCTAGGTCACTCTAGACCCTATACCTGCCCTCCAGCATATCTACCTCTCCCCCTAGTTTAGTGTCATCCGCAAACTTGCTGAGGGTGCAATCCATCCCCTCCTCCAGGTCATTAATAAAGATGTTGAGCAAAGTGGTTGGGGCACGCCACTTGAAACCTACCTCCAACCAGACATCGAGCCATTGATCGCTACCCGTTGGGCCCAACAATCTCGCCAGCTTTCTATCCATCTTACATGTATCCAGTCTGTCCTTCCTTAACTTACTGGCTTAACTATTGTCACAGCTGGGCTCTGGCTTAGCAAGGAAACAGAGTGAAACCTCCGAGATGAACTTTCCCTTTGTGACGTAGTGGGGGTACCTGGCTGGTTTCTATGCTGCTGGCTCTGGGGTAACCCCCACTGGCTGCCGTGGGTACCACGACCCAGCAAAACAGGATGAGTCACTATGCAAACCAGTGGCCAGACACCCCCCATGGAGAGGAACAAAGGAAGGTGGAATGCTGCCTTGGCTGGGGGGCAGGGCTGGAAGAGAGTTGGGTAGTTCCTGGCTGGAAGGCAGGGAAGAAGGAGCTGGGGAGGGGGGCTGGGACTCCCCTATCTCAAGGGGGGCACTGAGGCTGCTTAGCCCCAGTTCCGGTAACCAGATTACATCTGTGCTGTGCTGTGCTGTGCTGTGCTGGAGGAACAAAAAACACCCTCCATTCTACTGGCTGGTGAAGTCTGTTCATGCCATTTCGGGGTGCAGGAGATGGGAAAATCCCGACGCGTCGTCACACCCTTCATTCTCAGAATTTTCACTTTGCAACTGTGGCAGGTTGGAACTAGGGTTTGGCCTGGTGAGGGGTTGGCGAGGAGACCCCCCCCCAACAAACAGGAGGGAGTGGGAGGTGGGACGCGGGGGCAGGAAAGACCTCCTTTGATACAGGACAGTGTCGGTGAGCTAGGGAGGGAATGCCGCCTTTCAGAGGAAGTGTAAAACTGAGACCGCGTATGCTCATTAAAAGGGACAGCGCATCTGGTCAAGTGTGAGGGACGCCAGCAGGATGGAATAGCAGGAGGCAGCAGAGGTCAGGCCTGAGGTGACCAAGATGGCAGCGTGTACCTCTTTAGACTTTGCAGTCTGTTCCTGATCTCTGACGCTGCCCACACATTATTCTTTCCGGAGCCCACTTAACCTATCTGCCTCCGTCCCCGCAGAGCAGCCCCTGGCTAGAAGAGCTCCAGGGAAGGAGATTAATGAGTCCCCGAAATCCAGCTTTCGGCAGAGAACGCAGAGCTGAACCCATTGTCAGCATTTAAAGCAGCGCAGAACCCCCGGAGCAAAGCCAGGCGGGCGAGGAACTACTTTCGACACTCCATTCCTCTAATGGCTGCGAAGGGAAGAGGTGCTCAGTCTGCCCGAACACCTTAGAGGTAATGGACCGTCGTTCCCAATCGAAAGAAGCCTCCTTGGGAGAACTAGAGGGTTTTATTGCTGTTTCCTACCAGCGAAGCTGCTCAAAGCGGCACTTCAGGAGCTAATGAAGGGGGGGATTGTTAAGGGCTAGGCTGGAGAATTCCGTGTTGAGTTCTGAAAGAAGTTCCGGACGGGAAGCAAATGAAAGGAAGAGCAGCAGTGGAGGGGTACTGTCAGGACAGAAGCGGAGCGTGCCTTTCCCTTCGTTTAACTAGACTGGGAGGAAAGAGATTTGCCCGGTAATGGATCAGCGCTCTCAAACTCAATCGCTAGGCAGCCATTCAAAAGCAATTTAGGACGAATGTATATCATTTAACAACACCCCGATTTGCTGTCTTAAGATACAGTTAAGCAGGATATTGCATTCCTGGGATCTGGGGGCATCTGCCAAAGGGGGATTATTTTTATTTGGCACTTCAAAACATCACACATCACTCAGAAAAGAAAAAAAAAAGACAAGCATGCTGGTGTAGTACCCCCCAGCCATGTGCTATCCATGCATCCTACAGGGAAACTTGGCACAGTGAAGGTGCCCCATTAAGTCCTCCTCCATGGGACACTTCTCATTATGCCCCAGCTGGCATGATATTATTGCTTTCTGCCGCCCTCCAGGGTAGGGGGTGTACCAGGCGATGCTTACAGGTAACCGGTTAACCGGCACTGTGGATGGGGAGCTGCTCTAGCCCAGACAGGCCACCGGGCCACACCGTGGGCAGGGTGCAGGCTGGTTAACCGGTTAAACATATCATTGGACCGGTTCACATTGTAAAGGGGATTTTGCATCCCGACTCCAGGGGAGCAAGAGAGACATGCCCAGTTAATGCCACTAATACTTGCAGGAGATGGATATTCAACGCTTGGGCAAAGGCAAAACTTGGCCAACAAGCTGGCTGTGTCCAACCGCCCTGTGTCCAGGGGAGGGAAGAACTGGTTTAAATCAGTGATACCATGGCAGGTCCAGGAGGCAAGGTTTAACAGACCAGCTCACCAGAGATGGGCGACACACGCCTGTGCCACGCTACGCGTAGGGCCAGAGGTCAGTGGTGGGCAGCCTGTGGCATGCGGCCCATTGGGGTTCTAGTCCCACTCTGCCCTCCCCCCCCCCAAGCGTGAACGTCACGAATCCGCCTTTCACAGTCCTCCGAAAGTGCTGGGAGCGGGGGGAGGAATAGGAAGTGCAGGGCTCCGGTGTCCCTGTGCGCAAGAGGCGTGGGGGCCGGGGGTGCATGGGCCGCAGGTGGAACCCCAATAGGCCGTCTGAGGGCTGCGGCTTGCCCACCACTGCACTTCAATCTTGCGGGCCACCGGGACAACCCACCCACTAGCCTTGGCTGCCCATGGCGGCCGGGGGTCTTAACTCTGAGGCAGCTCTGGAAGGGAGACAGGTGTGGGGAATGATGGGGGTAGCTCTGCAGGCTTACATTTTAACAGTGACCTGTGATTTTAGGTGCCTCGGGGCTGAAGCAGCCCTCAAAGGGGCCTGATTTTCAAGAGGGTGAGGGCTAGGCCCTTTTTGCAAATGGAGTCCTTTTAAGGGCCCCACACTGGCTCCTCTCAGGACTCCGCAAACAGGGAAGGGAGACAGGTGTGGGGAATGATGGGGGTAGCTCTGCAGGCTTACATTTTAACAGTGACCTGTGATTTTAGGTGCCTCGGGGCTGAAGCAGCCCTCAAAGGGGCCTGATTTTCAAGAGGGTGAGGGCTAGGCCCTTTTTGCAAATGGAGTCCTTTTAAGGGCCCCACACTGGCTCCTCTCAGGACTCCGCAAACAGGGAGAAGGGCAGGTTAAAATGGCCAAGGGCAGGGGGAATATTTGATCAGCCAGTCTCCGTGGAAGTCACTCCGAAGCTGCCTCTCTTAGGCGTGGCGGCGGGAACTGCTGTGCTTTACCTGGGCTAGTGCCAAGGGCTGGGTGGCTGGTGGGCATTACAAACCCTCTGGCACACACTGATCCACAGCAGCAGGGGTGTGAGTAGATCCTCAGCCCGTGCAGCCCGGCTGCCATGCCTAACGTGTGCCCCATGCAGGACCCCGGCTTGATTGGCACCACCAGCTAACGACTGGTCCTAACTGGGGCAGCAGCTCTAACTGACACGCCGAGGAGTGGACATGGAAGCCTGAGCGACGCTTAGTCACGTTACCTCAGACTCCGGTCCATAGTGTCAAACCATGTGATAACTTTATGGGCCCAGCAGAGACACCCGGGAGGGGGAAGTCAGTACACGAAGGGCTCGCCTCCCTCCCGCCCTCCAAACCCAACTCAGGGCTTATCTACGAGGCGAGGGATGACCCAGCAAGCGCCGCTGTAGCTTACCGCACACGTGGGCCCTGCTACCACGCGGTAAACGTCCCGTAGCGCAGCTGGGTGTATTGCCGCTGGAAAGCCGCACGCCAGGCCTTTTGCTGCGCTGGATCAGTGACCGCTCCGCAAGTTGGCATGTTGCAGAATCACACCCTGGTCTGAGAGTCATACCCAGGCTGGGACCTCCTAGCTGCTGGTCAGTTTGTGCCGGACTCTCCTGTTCCTAGACAGGAGCAGGCAAAGCACAATCAGAGACATGGAACAGAGATGCTCCATAGACCTCGGGCTGGTGCAGCATCTGGTATCTGCCTCCCGCCTCCCCGGATCCCACATACCTCCCTCTCTTCCCCGTTCATATCATCTTTGACACGCAGGCTCGCACGCGCCGGTGACAGAGTGACAGGGGGTATGAAAGGCAGGCGCTACGAGCGCTTTGCTGCTTCGAGACTGTAGCTCCCCAGCTCCCTCCCGCTTGCAAAAATATAATCACATTATAATTATAAGTTAATTAAAGCAGAAGAGATCAAAGCCACTTTAGACAGATTAATGATACGATGAGTGCCAGAAATTTCTCTGTTTTATGTATTAACCACATTGTCGTCTTCTCTTTCGCTCTTCTCCCTCTTTTGTGTTTGCCAGGCAGCCTTTCATTCCCCGCTCTCTTTCTCTGCCTCACTTGATGAATGAAGGATTTGAAGACCTAACAGCTGTGGAGATTTGTGCAGGGAGGAGAGGAAACATTCAAAGGATTATCAGAAAATCAACATGCTTTAAAAAAATAGAGAGACAGGGAAATTGCAGGCACACAAATATAGACAAGCTCTTGGCAGAATTCAATTTTTTTTAAATAATTTTGACAGATAATATCGATCTTTATGGCTGAGCATTTTTCTATTTGTATTGATCTAAATTTTCACAGTTGTGCAAAATTAGGGGGTTGAGAATTTATTTTTATCACTGGAAATTTTCCCTGTTGTGGGAAATTAAAGACAATAGGGGAGTCAGACAATAATTATGTAATGACATTAAGCTTCAAAAAGCTAAAATTGTAGGACCATTAAAACGCAAATTGCCAGCATCACATGTCAAAATATACAAAGCAAATGGCCTTAAATCAGACTCTACTAAGTTCTCACGATATTTTGCCTCCCTGTAAATTTGGACTGTTATCGATGGAAACGTTTTGTGCCTCCATCTCTAGTGGGATCGACGTTTGCTCTCATACACTGATCAAAAATCTAATCATCCCCTCCCAAGCCCAAATGTATGGAAGGGGCCAAAATTAGGATCTGGAGTGAGAGGTGGGGTAGAAATGAGCTCTGAAATCAGGCCTGCAGATCAAGCCTGCTGGTGTCTCAAAGTGGGGATGTTTCTGCATGGGAGCCGTGATTCTTAACTCAGGTTTTTGGGTAAGCTGGTGTCTCAAACTGGGGGGCTACGTCTACACTGGC